GCCCTGCCTGTACCGCTGAGCCCTGCCTGTACCGCTGAGCCCTGCCTGTACCCCTGAGCCCTGCCTGTACCGCTGAGCCCTGCCTGTACCGCTGAGCACTGCCTGTATCCCAGGCCCTGCCTGTACCCCTGAGCCCTGCCTGTACCGCTGATCCCTGCCTGTACCCCTGAGCCCTGCCTGTACCTCAGGCCCTGCCTGTATTCCTTGAGCCCTTCCTGTACCCCGGGCCCTGCCCGTCTCTCTTGAGCCCTACCTGTCCCCAGCAGGCTCCCCGGGTGCTGCCTGCCTGCAGGAGTGCAGAGCAGGCACCCAGCATGCGCCTGCCCGCACCCTGCCCATCCCCAGGGCTGCTGCACAGCTGCTGTGGCCCAGCACACCCTGGGGAGGAGCAGTCGCTGTCCCTGCCTCCCCGTGGGAGCCTCCTGTCCCCCAGGCACTGGTCTGTGTCCCCCCCGGCTCCCCACGACTGCCCTCCCCCGGAGCTTGGCGTGGGCAGGGGCTGGGGACGGTCCCACCCCATGTCCCATGTCCCCTCCAAATGACCAACAGACACTCACCTCCCGCTCGGATCAAGGGGGTTTATTGGGTCCCCCAGCCCCCCCTCGGCCCTGCCGCCACCCCCGGGGGGCTGTTGGGGTCAGAGGGCTCGAGTTTGCCCCATTTCCAGATATGGGCTCAGCTCCAGCTGTTCACTCTGAACCCTAATGCGGGCAGTGAGGTTGGGCTGGTCAACCAAGTAGGGAGTGCCTGACAAGGATCCAGATGGGGGGTGGGGGGTGCAGGGGGGTGTCCCCTCCCGCCCTGAGGCGTCATTACCGGGTTGACAGCATCATAACGAACTCTGTGGGGCAAGGGAGGAGGGTGTCAGGGGACCCAGAGCTGGGCCACCCTTCTCAGCCCATGTGCCATGGGGCAGCAGCGGGGGGGGGCTGCAGGGGAGTGGGAGTCCCTCACCATCGAAGTCCAAGTGCCCGTCCCCGTTGAGGTCCAAATCCTGCAGGATCTCGTTCACTTCCTGCGCCTTCAGCTGCTCCCCCAGCAGCGCTGCGATGGCCTCCCGCATCTCGGCGCTGCTGATCTCCCCGTCCCCGTTCATGTCAAACTGCGGCGCCCGCAGGTTGGGGGTCACCATTACCTTCCCCACCGGCCTCACCACCCTCCCTCCAGGGCCACAGTCACCCCATGCTCTTCTTGGGGGTCACCATCCCCTCCGTGCCTGTGGTCACCCTCATGGTCATTGTTCCCCATGGTCATGGTCAGTCCCTGGTCTTCTCATGGCCATCGTCCCCTCCATGCCTGTGGTCAACCCCATGATGACCATCCGCCATGGTCACTGTCTCCCCCATGGTCTCCCCATGGCCATTGTCTCCTTGATGCCTTGGGTCACCCCATGGTCATTGTTCCCCATGGCCATGGTCACCCTCTGGTCTCACCATGGCCATTGTCCCCTCCATGCCTGTGGTCACCCTCATGGTCATTGTTCCCCTCCCATGGTCATGGTCACCCCATGTTCTCCCCATGACCATCATCCCCTCCATGCCTGTGGTCACCCCATGGTCACTGTCCCCACCACAGTCTTTCCAGGGTTGCTGTTCCCTGTGGGGGACATCGCGGTCTCCCGTTGCGGTGGCCATACCTCCCGGAAGGCGATCTTGAGCTCCCTCACGCCCACCATGTGGGCCGTCTCCTCCCGCATCTTCGGCCCCATCATCTGCACAAAGTCCTCGAAGTCCACACGGCCACCCACTGCCCGTAAGAAAGGGACAACTTCAGTGCCCCATGCCCCATTCCCTGCCCCTGGGACCCCCTCCCCAGCCCCACGGCAAGCCGGCCCCATGCTCACTCCTCATCTTGACGTGCTGGGAGATCTCAATGAGCTCCATCTCGGTGGGCATGTACCCCAGGGTGCGCATGCAGGCGCCCAGGTCCTTGTAGCTGATGTACCCATCCTGGTCCGTGTCGAACTCCTTGAAGGCATCCAACAGCTCTGCCCGCACACACGGGGACACGCGGGGACACGCCAGCACATGGAACCCATCAGGTGTTGGGGTGGGGGCATCCCCCAAGGCACCGTGGCCACCCCCGGGGCAGGTCCCTTCCCTGGATGTGGTGCCGTGTCATGTGGCCCCATAGAACCATGACCCGTGGTAGATCCCTTCATGACATATGGGCCCCATGGCACTGAGCCCCACGACAGAGCCCCCCGTGACAACGTGTCCCCACGGCAGAGCCCCCCATGGCACTGCAC